TTCTTCTCTTTCGTTTTCTCTTCGCGCGCGCGCGCGCGCTGATAATTCATTAATTTATGATAAGCTCGACCACGCCGCCCACGGGCCGCGCATCCTCCCCCACCCCCGCCTGCCATAAATCATTTTCGCCTCTGACGTTAATTGCGCGCCACCCCTCGTTACCACGGAGAAATGAGATTTTTTTAATTGGCGAATTTTTCACCGCCGCTGACACCCTGCCACCCGCGCACCCGCACATTCCCTGATTCCTCGCCGCGGTGCCGTGCAACGCGTGTCGAGGAGAGAAAGCTCGGCGGGGTGCGTAATGGCTTTCTTAAATTTGACGATGATACGCCGGAAAGACGTCCGCTTCTTTGTGAGCCAGCGTCTCATAGCGATATTGCAAAGTTGTTTCACCTCGACTTCGTACCGTGCATTGCGATTAGAATGATTTATTATATTGCCTTCGTTGTAATATGATTACTAAATAATCCGTATAGGAATATTGTGGGCACTTTTAAATAATAACTCTTTTAACCTGGAACTTATCACTATTCCTTTTTAGAAAAATGATCTTTTAAAGTGTTTTTTAATTGGGCTAAATTTTAATTAGAATGTTTTTTGCATGTTTTTTCAATTAAAATTTATTATTATTAATAATATACTATATATCGCTGAATATTTTCCGATGACTATAAATTTACTTGTTATTTTTTGAAAAGTAATTAAAAATAAATGACTATTAAACAAATAAGCAGGAGGAAAATGAAGTTTATTTTTTCATCAGCTGAGTGAAATCAACCGAGTTAAATGGAATTAATGAGAAGTTATAATTATATCCTGTATTTAATAAAATCTTATTGAAAGAAATATTCAGTAATGGATTTAATAAATGTTTTGTATATAAATATTTTTGTATATATTCTCAGTAATGGATTTAAAAAAATATTTTATAAATATTTTTATATATGATTTTAATAAATATCAGACTGCTGAAAACGATAGCTTTGAAAATAAAAAAAATCGAAAGTTTAAAGTTGAATGTGAATTTAAAATATAAAATTTTATTCGATAGATACGAAGACTTCTGATGGCAAAACATAAAAAGCTTTAAAAGACACATCTTACTTATTACCACAGTGAAATCTTGAGTCAATTAGGTATAATACGGAAGAGTAGAGTACGAATAAAAATACATACTTTGATGATGTACTCGTTCTTGGTGAAATTTCTGTGACTACTTTAATCAGTAAAACTTTCACCGATTAAGAGGATTGAATCAATCGATACGTAAAATTAATCTTGATGAATGATGCTCACAGAAATATTCGCCGCCCGTATATGCAATTAGTAAACATATCCACGGATACAACGCGAGCTTTTAAGCCTGAGTTAAATCGCACCGCTTCTGACCTCGTCGTGAATTTGTTTGGGCTATGCCTGACGTTCCACGCCTAAACAACGTGGTCGCGCACGTGGCCTTGCGAAAAGCATTGCGTGCGGTCGCCTCACGGCGACACATTCCTCTCGATTCCCTAATCTTCTCCCTTCCCCCAAGAGGCTCCCTACGTACACGAGACGAATCAGGAATTCAAGCACCTCCGGTATCGCGAAAGATTAATTGCGCGAAAGCGCCGGAATAACTTTGAAATGAGCAGCGAGTCTTAATTTCGAGCGCGGACGGCGTTGCCGCTCGTCCGTGGATACGGGGATTCCTCGAGCGTGTAAAATACAAATCGCATTAGCAAGTCAAAGTGCTGAGCTCTCTGTCCCATTTTGAGACGTCGCAAACATTTCCTACGTACGCCCGGCGCTACGGAAGGGCCTTAACTCGATAAGTCCGCTCGGTACCTGAAGTGAGCTCATAATCGTGAACGAAGCGCGCAACCGCTTATTACAAGCGAGGGCATTGTAAATTTGCAGAGAAGCAGAGAGAGAGAGAGAGAGAGAGAGAGAGACGACAAAAGCGAGTGCGACGAATATGAAGGCGAGAGCGAGAGAGAAAGAAATGAAAAGAGCGAGCGAGGGAGACCAATGCAAGTACGTCAAGAAAGAAAGACGGGAAAGAGAAGGTAGGTAAGAGGTGGAAGAAAAGAGACGGAGAGTCAGGGGAAGGAATGCAAGACGAGGGAGGCAAAGAGGAGTCGAAAGGACAAAGCGGCGCAAAACGTGCCCCTCAGGCATCTAAAGTCTTTCCTCAGCGTTGAAAATTTATCGTTCTGCAAGCGCCGGCGAGCAGAAAAATAACGGGGGAGAAGAGAACGGGGGAAGAGACGGGAGGAGGAAGTGGGTGTCGAGGAAGTCTCGTGAAAACAAAACGCGTCTTGTCCCATTTATTCGGGCGAACCCTAGATTTTACCGAAAACCCATGTTTAAGATAATGAGAACACTTCTTCGGGTTTCTTTTTCTTTTTTTTTTCTTCTCCAAACGCGGGCATAATTAACGGTATACGCGCGTGGAAAACGCTAATTAATCTCGACGCGAAGGTGCAAGCCGTTATTAAGGTGGATGCGTGTGTCCGTGTGTACACGCACGCTGAGTTATCTTGCCTGTAATTACGCGGTCGAGACTCGCGCGTATGAGTGCGCATAACGCCGGGGTGATACTCCGAAAGCGGTAAAACGAGTTAAATTCTAGGCGGGCTTCGGGAAATAATTTAATTATGCGAGGATAACGATAGCGGAGAGGGACGACGATAATTCGGTATTTAAACGGAACGGCCGCATACTTGGACCGCATTCTCACGAGATGCTCGCCTATCGAGGCTGACTTTCTTGATGGAGACGTGTCGACTTATCTTGTACGCGCTTGTACAAGGTGGCCTTTGATGTCCGGCTATGTTAATTCGCGATAATAATCATGGAATTGCTGGAAAGTGTGCGCTCACACGTCGCGTTCCTTATCTCGAAACACGCGCGGATTAATGAATCTTGTTTTCTGTCCCGCGATCTCTTCCTCTCCCAACGATATTTATAATGAACTCTTATCTAACGAGTTAATTCTCTCGCGATATAGGAATTCTCTTACAAACAACACGGCAGCGATATTATTCCCGGCATTCGTATCTCTTCGACGGCGATCGTCTCTCGGAATCAATTAAACGTAAATACCGCGCAAATACCTCAGATTGGAAGATGATCTTTCGAATCGCTCCTTGTCTCTCCTTTCGCGCGTGAGTGCGTCTTCTTTTCATCAATATCCGTTCCGCGTTTAACGAGTCCGCGGGAAATGATTATATAACAAGGAAAGGGGGGGTTTCATCGAAAAGAGATCCACTCGCGTCGATCCCCGCTGTTTCTCTCGCCGCACTATACTATGGTGCTCGTTCTTCTTATCCTTTGTAATAATAATTACCGACGCACGTGTGCACACGAGCGCGATGGAGAGAGTCGGACGATGAACGGCTCCACGACGGTGACGGCGACGGCGGCGGCGGCGGCGGCGGCGGCGGCGGCGGCGGCGGCGGCGGAGGAGACGCATGTGGAGTTCACGACGCGTGTGGAGTGATGTATGTCCCGTGTGCGGCTGGATGCGTAAGACGGGTAGCTTATACGTCTTACATGCCCGGAGGCTACCAAAGTCGAGTCCCTCTCGCTGCGTGCCGCGGTCTCGCGCGCGCGTGTACGTGCGTGTGCGTACGTACACGCGGAGTGCACGCGCGTGTGTCAGGTCGACACGAATGTCCGCGACCGTGTCCAAGCCGTGTGCCGACCGAGTTCGATGTTACTGTCTCGCCTCCCTCTGCTACGAGCTCCCCTTTTCTCTTTTGGTATATCGCTTCGGATATCGCTCCCGGGAGAACGCGCGTTAATTACGCCGCGGGACACGCGTGTACATGCATGTTGCGACGATGTAAAGTCACGGGTGGACGTTAACGAGTCCGCTAGGTAGTTCGGACCGCTCGTCCAGGATACGACATGGGAGAGTGTACGCTATAAATGATGTTGCTGTATGTAGGTTTTTTTTTATGCCAGCTCATTCTCTCCCGGCAAACTTGAGCGGTATAAAACTTACTTTTCGTTGTATTAATAATTAGTATTAGTATTCCTAGGAGGAGATTGACTTTATTACAATAGTTTAAGAAAATGAGAGACATTTGCTTTCCAATGTACAAATACGTTTACAGCCACTGGGATTATTTATATTTACGTGGGAGGAATGCTGTTGATTTGCGTCTTCGGAATTATTAAAATTCTGGGGGAATAAATGTCGATTTCACCGAAGGTGCGAAGGGGCAATGTATGTCAGGATGAAAATATTCCACCTATCCTTTTTGCAGATACGTTATACATGCGTGCGTAAAAACTTGATTCTGTGGTGAATAAATTACCATAATAACTGACTATATCGAGATAAGGCTAGTCATTGAACGGCGCATTAAATTTATACAGTCATTAAC